AGAGAAAGGGAGAGAGATAGAGAGCTAGAAACGTTGATGAGAGAGAAACATCGACCAGCTGCCTCTTGCACACCCCCTACCGGGGATGTGCCCGCAACCAAGGAACATGCCCTTGACCGGAATCGAACCTGGGACCTTTCAGTCCGCAGACCGACGTTCTACCACTGAGCCAAACCTGCTTCGGCTAATGTGTCCCTCTTACTGCCTCTCCTCTCAGACCCTGGAAATGGGGGTTTGCCAGACCCCATGTTGACCACATCCATCGGTTCATCCCTGGGCCCTGTGGCCTCTGGCTTCCAAGGGCTGCCCCGAACTCCTGAGCCGGGACAGTGACCCCTCCTTAGTCCCTAAGGAGGAGCATCAGCTCCTCTCTCTCCCAAGGACAGAAACAGCTCTCCACCGGCCTCCACGGGACCCCTGACCTCCCAGGCCAGGCATCTCATCCTGGTCGCCAGCACTGTAAAAGGAACTGAGTGCAGTCAGTCAGTGCTTTTAACACTTTTATGGGTCTCTTACAGATCCAACTCAGTCACCTAATTGCAATCCTATTAAGCTGGTTAGTTTGTAACCAAAACGGTGTGTTTTCACCCTGGCCCACAAGCTCAGTGGTTAGAGCATCGGCCTGAGCACAGAAGGGTTGCAGGTTCATTCCTGATCCCGGTCAAGAGTGTGAAGAGGCAACCAATCAATGTGTCTCTCTCACAGGGACATTTGTCTCTCCCTCACTTCCTCCCCTCCCTTCCACTCTCTGAAAATCATTGAGAAAATATCCTGGGGTGAAGATTACAAAAAAAAAGTGTGTGTATTTTTTTAGTCTATAGATAGCCCCTATTGAATATTATGCTCTAATATTCTACACCTGCCCGTGGCTTTCACCTTACCACCAAAGCACAAGCAGAATGCACACATAAAATGTTTAAACAACCAGTTTATAACCACCCTGGAGTGAACAAACTTCCATCTAAGCCTCAGGTACTAAGACACTCAACTTTTAAAAATTAAACATTGCAAAAGTATCTTTCAACAAAAGGTCAGACTATACACAAGTATGATACAACAGAGATACCAGATCCTCGGATATGTAGAGAGGCTTCTTTAGATTAAAAAAAAAAAAAAAAAGCTACACCAGGATTCACAAGGGAGAGCCCACTGAATCACACATCATCTGGGAGGCCTGCGCCCCCAGCTGCCCAAAGTGCAGTGAGTGGGGAGGTATCTATGGCAAGAAATGGCAGGGAGCCCCACAAAGAATAAGGCAGATCTCTAGTATCAACCTGTGAAGTTACTCCACAAAATGAGCAGGCCCATCTTTATATATAAAAGGCTAATATGCAAAGTGTCCTCTCAGAAGTTGGACGGGGAGACTGGAAGTTCGATTGCTCGCTATGATGTGCACTGACCACCAGGGGGTGGTACAGAGCGAAGGAAGGCCCTGACCACTGGCCAGGCCTAGGGACGCTACCTATGCACGAATTTCGTGCACCAGGCCTCTAGTTCCTTATTAAAACAACAAAACTTGTAACTGTGAGGGTCAGGGACAGCCTGTGTAGGGCAGGAGGAGGGTTAACAGAGAAAAAAATTTTACTTAGTACACATACAGTTGGAAACTGCCTGAATTGTTTTCCAATAAAAACATTCTTCTGGAGGAGCCACTCAGCCCCTGGGGAGGGCTTTTTCTTTTAAATGTCAGAACCCACATCTGTACATGCCTGACCGGCACTGAGAACTCCGCACACGCAGTGTCCTGTAGCCAGAGGTGCCAACCAGTCCTGGTGGTTGGTACGAAAACCAAGACGGAGGCTGACAACTCTTTCCCCGTGGGGAGCAGCAGCGGAGCAGCAGGGCAGCAGGGGGTCTGGGGCCGTCCAGCCCGGTGCCTCTCTCAGGGCAGCAGGGGGCCCGGGGCCGTCCAGCCCGGCGCCTCTCTCAGGGCAGCAGGGGGCCCAGGGCCGTCCAGCCCGGTGCCTCTCTCAGGGCAGCAGGGGGCCCGGGGCCGTCCAGCCCGGTGCCTCTCAGGGCAGTTCCCAATACGTGGCTGGACCCACGGAAACTCCCGGACAAAAGCGGCTTTCCTGGAAGACGGCCTAGGAAATACCTGAGGTGGGTCCGAACAGGTGGGAGCGCCGACCCCGCGGAGCGGGGCGACCCCGGAAGCGGTTTCTGCTCGGCCAGCTCCGTCCCAGATCGCAGGGAGCCACACCGGGCAGACCCAGGCGGGCCCTCCGCGCCGGGAGAAGGTTCCCACGGGGGCGGGGCGCGGCGCGGAGCACGTGATCCGGACGGCCAATCGCGGCCCGCGCCGGGCGAGGGGCGTGTCCGCAGAACAAAGGGCGGAGGGAAAGGAGGACCGTGGGACCCTCCCTGTCAAAGGGCGTACGCTCGCCCGCCGAGGACAGGGCGTGGCAGCGGGGCCGTGGAGAAGATCACAGATGGAGGGGTGAGGTAGGTAAGAGGGTGACTGCCTGCCAAGGAAAGGGGGTGACAGCGAGAGACCACCCAGAGGTGACAGGGAGAATGCCTGTGGAGGGGAGGGTGTGACCGCAGAGGAGACAGACCGTCTGTCAATGAAAGGAAGTGACAACAGGAGAAGGGGTCATCAGAGGAGAGGTGAGAACAAGAGGAAGGGTAACTGTCAAAGAAGAGGGGATGACAGTAGCAGGTGCCCATGGAGAGGGATTGGAGGAAGGGGGCTTCCAGGAGGTGACAGCGGGAGTGGGGGTAACATCTGGGCTCCTTGGAGGTGGGGTGATAGAGGGGGAGTGTGACTGCCCACCAAGGAAGAAGAGTGACAGTGGGGGTGTGACAGCCAGGGAGGGGCCACTGGAGGAGGGCGATGGCAGGTGTGTCAACCCTCCTGCAGTCCCATCCCTTCCTGCCCTGGCTCAGCCCCCTGACAGAAGGGTTGGCTGGAGGTTCCTTGTTCTTTGATACACAGTCATGTTTTAAAATAATAGGTTAACAGTGCAAATGCTCAAAAGAGAAATCTCAAGAACCAATGAACTGAAATAAAAAGGAAACAGAAACTACCTGTCCTTGCTCTGAAAGGCAGTATCTATTTACAAATCCTTTGTGAACCAGACTATGTAATTTGACAGGACAAACTCCGGGGTATTCCATTTGTAGGTGATAGGAAAGTCCCTTTCCCAGAGAATGAGCGAAATGGGCAGTAACTGCCAAGGAGAGAGCCCCTGGGGAGATGACTGGCTGTCACACTCATCCTAAGGAGCTGAGGCAAGTCATCACACGTGCTCAACAGCAGTTACAAACATCTGTAATGAGACACATGTGACTTTCTTTCTGTGCATAGATGAACACAGGATGTATCCAAAACAGAAAATGTCAAACGAGTACCTTGGTTTCTCAATGATAACCTGGTTAGACTACACTAATATTTTTATTTCAATAATATTTTACATTTTTATAATAAACAACTGCATATCACTTGATTACTATGTGAGCCCAGCTTAAAATGACCAGCTGCAGGTAGGGGTTCACTGCAGAACTCTCATAAGACGTGGACCCCATCCCCAGCAGTGGGGCTGAATCAACACCAAGACATCCAGACTCTGGACCCAAGACAGCTGTTAAAATATGCTTTCTTTTCCTGTATTAAAAGCATCACCAATAAATACTGCTGCTTAATCCCGATATTGGACTCTGAGATGGGGTCAGACATGCCAGGAGACTGGATCCCCAAACCAGGGGTAAGCAGCAGGGCGACTCAGGACCAAGCTCCAGAGGTGACGGACATGACCACGGGAATTGGGGGACCTGATATATCTCTCTTCTGAAGAGTCATCTGCAGAAAACATGGGCTCAAGAAGCATATAAAAAGATACTCTTCAAACGTCACAGAAGTATAGCAATCCTAACCACGGTGGAGCAGGCTACAGTATTTCAGCAGGCTTCAAGCAGCCTTCCCAACACTATGGAATGAGATGTTCAACTAAACACCGCTCAGTAACTGTAGAAAGCTTGCAAAAGAACCACAGATTAAAAATTGACTTCCTGGCCTAAGCATTTTGGAAAATGAAGGAAAACAGACTCACACCAGTCTGTGTGGAGGGCGAGTGAAAACTGTCTTAAAAAAGGAGCAAACCCACAGAGTCCTCTCCCTTCGGAGGATCAGGGGATGGAGCCTGAAGACCGCCCCACATCAGACCCCCTTCCAGACAGAAGCTGAACAAGCTGCTCTTCGCAGAGCATCCGAGGGCATGGTGATGCCACCCCATCTCCGGCTGGGAATGGAGGTCCCCGAGTCCCATCACACAGCCCACAGGAAAAAGCAAAACCCGCTGCCTACCCAGCTGTCTGTGAATATACAAACTGACTGCTCTTTTCCCGTTTTCCCATTCCGTACACAGGGTGGGGCAAAAGTGGGCAGTCGTTCATAATACAAGAATAATCTCCATTACTCCATGTACTCACAACTATAAACTCGGTGTTCATAACACCATCAGGAAACTTGTAAAAAAAAAAAAAAAAAAAAAAAAAAAAGTCAACCCAAACAAAACCTCAAGTTCCTAAACTTTAAACGTGCTGCATAAATGACAGCCTGCAAATAAAATTGCTTTTAAAAAACTAAACATGTAAACCGTAAAATAGGTAACCTTCCAGATATATTGCTACAAAATCAGTCCTACACCTAAAAGCTGCACCTCATTTGGAGCTGGTTCTAATGCAAGACATTTGGAGAACTGCGGCAATCAGAAGTGGGAAGTGACGCACATTCGGTTTGAATCATGCAAGGTTTATTCCTGAGACACACACAGTTCTTCCCACACTGGCCTAAAGATAGGAATGCTCCCCCCTTTTATCCCTCCCCCTCCCCCAGTCCTGGCCATAGGATAAACTTCAGAGAAAAGAAAGGACCCCTGTACAGGCAGGGTCTGCTCCACCCCTGCAGGGCCAAGTCAAGGGGCAGAGCAGCAGGTGCTGCCCCTGAAGGCCACCCCCCCCCACACACACACACACACACGCACGCACACGCGCACACTCACTCGTCGCCGTCGGGGCACACGCCGCTGGCCTCGTCGTACTTGGAGCAGTACACGTCCGGGCTGTAGTTGAAGGTGCCGTCGCGCCTGCGGAGCGGTCTGCGCCGACGCTGATTTAGGAAATGCCAATGGAAACAGGTAAATGGCCTGTGCTGGGCGCACTTGTGCTGCACAAACAGGGCGCACTGCTCTGTCCTAAACTCCTTTAGATACCTAAAAAGACAAACAGTGTTGCGGGTCGCTTCCGCCGCTGCTGCCACCGCCACAGGCAGCCGGAGGGAGGCTTGTGGGTTTGGGCGGGGGCAAGGGTTGTTGGCCTGACCCATGGGCCAAGGCAGCACGACCCCAGGGGCGACCCTCCCACCCCCCATTTCGAGCCCAGATGGCCCCCAGACAGCCGCCCTTCCCCACCGTGAGCCCGAGCGCGTGTCCCGGATCTCAGGCGCCCGCCCCCGGGGCCCATGCACAGCCCCCCATCCGGCCACAGGCGCCACAGACACCGCGGCTCCCGGCGCGCCCCGGCCCCCGCGCCCCGATGCCATCTCCGACCTCAGAGCAGCCCCCGCCATCCCGGGCCCCAGGATGACTGCCCCCGCCCCCCTCGATCCCAGCGCGGGCGCATTTCTCCGACCCCAGACACGGTCCTCAACCCCAGGCATGGGGGTGCGCTGTGCCCTGGGGGCCCGTGCCTGGGACCCCCCCCCCCCAGGCCCGGGCCCCCCAGGCACAGCGCACCCCCAAGCCCCACGCACGGCCGCCGCTCGGAAGCCAGAGGACCCCAGACGGCCGCCCGCCGCCCCGGGGCCAGGAGCGCCTCCCAGACCTCAGATGCGACCCTCCGGACCCCCGTCCCCACCGCAGACCCGACTCCCCGCTTTCAGGCACGACGCCGGGACCCCAGGGGCGCCGGACCCCCAAGCCCCGGTGACACCTCCGACCCCGGGCAGAGGCAGCCGCGGTCCGGACGACCGCCCTCCCCGCCCAGGAGCAGCCGCCCATCCGGGGTCCCGGGCGCCTTCTCCGCGCCCCTCCTCCCCGGCCGCAGGTTCTGCTCCCCGGACCTCCGAATCGAGGCGCGCGGACCCCGGGTCCCGGACCCCGGGCGTTCCCCAGCCACCGAGCCCCGGCGCCGCCCGGACCCCGGGCGCCGACTCCGACCTCAGGCAGCGGCAGCCCGAGCCGGAGGGCGATCCGCCCGCCCGGAGTCCCCGCGCCGCTCACTCGGGCGGCGGCCGGGCGAGGCGGGGACGGGAGGGCGCGGGGGGCGGCGGCGGGGGCGGCGCCGGGCCCCAGGCCGCGCCGGGCGGCGGCTCCCAGGCCCGGGCCCCGGGGGCACCGCCAGGCGCGCACAGGGCGGCTCCCGGCCCGCTCCCGGCCCCCGCGGCGGCCCCGCACTGACCTGTAGTGGGTCGGCTTCTCCGTCTGCGGGGGGGACCCGCTCAGCGCCGCCGCCGCCGCTTTCGAAACAGACGGCATTTTCAGTCAAAACAATGCAGCGCGCATGCGCCGCGCGGCCCGCCCCCGCCCCTCGGCCCGGCCCCCGCGGAGCCCCCGGCCCGGCCGCGGCCACGCCCCCGGCCCCGGGCTGCCGCCGGCCGGCGCCTCCCGGGCGGGGCGGCTAAGCTCTCCGGTGACTCTCGTGCGCCCCAGACCAGGCCCCGCCGGGGACACACCCCGGACATCGCCGCTACCACTCCCGCATCCTCCGTGCAGAGCGGCGCCCCCGCCCCGCGGCGCCCGCGGTCCAGCTGCACGCCCGTCCTGCAGGCTTTTAGCTCTCCTCCTGCCGGCTGCTGCCCTGAGCATCTGCTCAACCTGGGCGCCCAGGCGCTGGAACCAACAAGTCCTTAGGATTAAGACGCCTACATGGGCTGCTCAGCCATACTTCACTCATTCACTGCCTCTGAGCCCATGCTGGGTGCTGAGGCTGAGAGAATGGGTGGGTCCCATTGCTTAGGGCTGCATGGGGAGGGATGAGGATAGGGCATGTTGTTCGTGGGCAAGGAGTTTCTTTTTGTTTTTACCGAGAGTAAGGGAGAGGGATAGGGAGTTAGAAACATCAATGAGAGAAACATTGATCAGCTGCCTCCTGCACACCCGTCACTGGGGATGTGCCCACAACCAAGGCACGTGCCCTTGACCGGAATCGAACCTGGGACCCTCCAGTCCGCAAGCCAACGCTCCATCCACTGAATGGAGTTTCTTTTAGGGAGTTGGAACATGTCCTAAATTAGATTTTGGTGATGGGTGCCCCCTGTGAATATACTAAATATCTTTAATAGTATATTTAAATGGGTGAGTGAAGCTGATTTTTAAAGAAGAATCCAAAAGACTCATCGACATCAACAGGGTGGAAACTCAGGGAAGCAGGCAGCAGCTGCCCCAGCTCAGCTGGCCCTGGAGTAAGAACCAGGGCGTGCATTTCAGACACAACCCAGGCCCAGAGTGTATTATTCTGTAAATTTGTGGCATAAGATACATTTTTTAAAATGTTCAACTTCTCGCCAGGCAGGCGTGGCTCAGTGGTTGAGCATCGATCTATGAACCAAGAGGTTACAGTTCAATTCCTGGTCAGGACAGATGCCTGAGTTGTGGGCATACAGGAGGCAGCAGATCAATGATTCTCTTTCATTATTCATATTTGTCTCTCTCTCCTTTCCTCTCTGAAATTAATAAAAACATTATTAAAAAATAAAAAATAGCCGGGACTGGTTTGGCTCAGTGGATAGAGCCTCGGCCTGCGGACTGAAAGGTCCCAGGTTCGATTCCGGTCAAGGGCATGTACTGTGGTTGCGGGCACATCCCCAGTAGGGGGTGTGCAAGAGGCAGCTGATCGATGATTCTCTCTCATCGATGTTTCTAACTCTCTATCCCTCTCTCTTCCTCTCTATAAAAAATCAATAAAATATATTTTAAAAAAATAAAATGTTCAACATCTCTAATAATTAACAAAATGCAAATGAAAGCAAGGCAAGTGCCTGGAGTGGGCTGAACTGCATTCTGCAATGTTGGTGGCCTGCAACAAGCAAGCTGAAGCACAGCTGGGAGGACAAACATGTGAACTTCACAGAAAATAAGGTTCCACTTCTAGGAACTGACCTAAAAATAAATCAGAGTCAGATAAAGATCATTATCAGTCACTCAGCAAAAGCTTGAGCGCGCCTGACAGAACAGTAGTTGTGACGTGGTTAAGTTCGAAGGCCATGCCATGATTCAACAATGGTCCTACTGACATGAGAAATGCTCCTATTTAGGTTAAAAACAAAGCAAGATATAACAGTTACATATAGTTGTTCTCAAGTATGTAAGTTATTTTTTGAACTACAAGTATTACAGTAAAATAAAAGCTGTCATTTGCTGGTGGGGTAAATGATTTTCTTTATATTCATTTTCCAAATGAATTACATTTACCTCTACAAACATTACATTTAAACCCAGAAAATGGCAAAAAACCAACGTATTTCCTAAGAAAATCAAGAAAGAGAATGAAGCAGAGGACAGGACTCATTAATTTGTTGGAGGTGGAATGAACAGATCTTGAAGGCTGCTAGTAAGTGGGGAAATAAAAAGTCTAGAATAATTTCAAGGTCCCTAGCTTGGAGGAATACATAACAAAGAAACAGGTTTGGGGAGAGATGAATTCCATTTTGCACCTAAACTATTTGAGAAAGCTATGAAGTCCAGTACTGATGTATAGAGAGCCACTTTTGAGCTCAAAACATGAAGTTGGGGCTCAGTTTAAAAATGAGTGGTTGGGCATCGTCCCATGCACTGAAAGGTTGCTGGTTTGATTCCGTCAGGGTACCAAGAAGAAAAATAAAAAAATCTGGGGATCTTGATTGTAGAGGCGGAAGTAAAGGTGCCTTCTGTTCCTTCTTACCCATGAGGCATCTTCCTTGAAGAAACCAGAGAATTGTGCAAGGTTGTAAAGACCCTCTGTAATTTTTTGTGCTTCCAAAGACCTTTTTTATTTTTTAATGTTTTTATTGATTTCAGAGGAAGGGAAAAGTAGATAGAGACATCCATGAGAATCATAGATTGGCTGCCTCCTGCATGCCCCCTACTGGGCATATGCCCTGACGGGGAATTGAACCGTGACCTCTTGGCTCGTAGGTCCACACTCAACCAGAGTCATGCTGGCTGGGCCCGAAGACCATTCTTAAATGGCTGGGGTAGTACCTAGACATGTAAAATAACATTTCATTGAAAATTCAGAAGTATTTTACTTTTGGGGGGTTGGGGTTAAGGGAAATGCACAGCCAGAACCGTTCAGAATTGCTCAGCTGCTTGAAAGATGTGAGGCCATTTCGTTAATCTCCTCTTCCTTAAATTTTCTTTAAAACAATTTTCTCCTCCTTCTGTCCAACACTTTCTCATCTCATGAATCACTGCAACTGCTTCTGTTATAGCATGCTTACACTAGTCTCTCCCTCTCCAATCCTCATCGGGTGCTTATCTAGGGAAGCGAATGTGCCAAGCAGCCTGGAAAAAAGAAAAGCTATAGCCAGTGGGGGAAATAAGATGAGCATACTACAAAAATTAAATAATAAGAGGATTTTGCCGAAACCGGTTTGGCTCAGTGGATAGAGTGTTGGCCTGCGGACTGAAGAGTCCCAGGTTCCATTCCGGTCAAGGGCATGTACCTTGGTTGCGGGCACATCCCTGGTAGGGGCCGTGCAGGAGGCAGCTGGTCGATGTTTTTCTCTCATCGATGTTTCTAACTCTCTCTCCCTCTAAAAAATCAATAAAATATATTAAAAAAAAAAAAAAAAAAAAAAAAAAAAAAAAAAAAAAGGGCCAGGGCGAGGGGCAGATTGGGGTGGAGACAGCTGCCGGCTGCTTCCAGATTTTGTTGTTGTCATTAATCCTCACCCCAGGATATTTTTCCATTGACTTTTAGAGAGAGTGGAAAGGAGGGGAGAGACAAACACATCGATGAGAGAGAAACAAGGATTGGTTGCCTCCCGCACGCACGATGGCCAGGGCTGAGGATCAAGCCAGTAACCGAGGTACGTGTCCTTGACCAAAATCAAACCCGGGATCCTTCAGTCTGAGGGCTGATGCTCTCTCTATCCACTGAGCCAAAACTAGGACTCTCCATCTTAAAAAAAAAATGCACCCACTGCCCTAGCCAGTGTAGTTCAGCAGGTTGGAGTGCCATCCTGTAACCCAAAAGGTTGAGGGCTCAATTCCTGGTCAGGGCACATAACTAAGGTTGTGGGTTCAATCCCCAGTTAGGATACATACAAGAGGCAACTGGTCAATGTTTCTCTCTCCCCCCCTTCTTCTCTCTAAAATCAATAAACATATCCTCAGGTAAGGATTACAATGACAGAAAAAAAGCACATATTTGTATTGGTCCCACCTCCCTGACAAGCATAATTTACCAAGGTGCGCCAGACACTTAGAGAACTTGAGCAAAGGCCTTGTGAGAAGCCAATATACTGTCATGCAGCCAGTGTCTTTAAACATTCTGCAATTAACTTCAGCAGCATATACTAGTACATGCCAAGGTAAAACCTTTCACTAAAAACTTACGTAAATAAAATCTTCTTTTTATGCATCTTGTATTTCAGAATTAAGGATTCCTAAGTGGTACTTGAAAAACATAATTTAGATACCCCAAATATTATAATTTGTCAAAAGAAAAATTGATTAGTTTTATTCAGAAAGTTGTTGCCTTGATTAAAAAAAAAAAAGAAATAAAGAAAAAAGAAAAACCCACAAAGGAGCCCCGCCAGTGTGGCTCAGTAGTTGAGCTTCCACCCATGAGCCAAGAGGTCAACAGGATTGAGATCAAGGCACATGCCAGTGTATGGCTGGATCCCCAGTGCAGGAGGCAGCCAATCCATGATTCTCTCTCTCTCATCATTGATGTTTCTCTCTCTCTCCCTCTCTCTTCTTCTCTCTAAAATCAATTTAAAAAGAAGGAATTGAAAAAGGACTAAAAGGTTCCCTTTGTTTAATGAGATGCAAAAAGGGTGGGGGTTGGCTTAAATCCACATTAGCTAACTAAAATTTATAATCAATCTGTTAGTTTGTATAACATAATTTATACATACCACAGCACATTATAACATAAAAAAACTTAACTCTTCTGAATTATTCTGTCTCAGAAAGCAAAAGACCCGCAAACTAGATTACACTGGATTACAAGTGTCACCAGACTTGCTTTGGAAACATGTTGAAAATCACAAATCCAAAACCTTTTATATGGATCTAAAAAAAAGTCTTTCGTGCATATTCGTTGGGCATCAAAGTAACAGGCAAAGAATTGGGTCCAGTTTGCTGACATTCTGCTCTCTCCTTCCACGTGCGCCATCCAATTCCTTCTGTCTGGGGACACACATATCCACGACAGAAACTATCAAATGCGATGTCAAAACTAAGGGCCGTTGTCAGGCCACTCGCTGCCTGCCCCCGCGGGCGCCCCTTTAAGTTCTCGCTCCATAGGCAGCTGGAGGTCCAGGCTCCTCAGAAGGATCGCTGGGCTCCGGCTCCTCTTCTTCCAATATCTGTTTCAACCAGTGGTCCGTGCTGGTCTCCTCCCT